TTTCACTGGAGTTATCCACAATAAATATACTCACTGTTCTGTTGTCATCTACTGCTCCACAGCCACATGCCAGGTCCCATGCTGCTATTTACTTATGTCATCAGGAGCTGGTTGTCCCTTCCTGGTACTTGAAGCCAACACCCTGATGATGCGTGCAGGTCATCCTCAGTCCAGTCGCAGGTCCACCTTCTACCAGCGCAGGTTCACCCTCCTACAGCCGCCAGCAAGTTGTGTGACGAAATCGCTGCTCTCCACAACCCCTGCTAGCCGGCTGGCTGCCGGAGAAAGATCCGTCCCTCACGGCTCCCTCTCTCCCTGATGTCACTTCCTCCTACAGCCACGGAGGAGAGACACAGGAGAGGGAGAGTCGAGGGACGGGAAACAGCGCCACCCGGTGTCCGCCGCAAGTCATGCTAGTATGCGGCATTGTACCGTTTGAATGATGTGCCCGGGCGGGAGGTGGGCACAGACTCGGGCACATGATTGCAAACCCGTACTGCCCGGGTGAAACCCGGACGGGTGGCAACCCTACCCAGCACCAGTCAGGGTCTCTCTCTTTTCAGGAAGGTACCAAGTGCACAGGGGGGGCCATGACCTTCAAAACTACATTACAAATTATACATTAAACTGAAATAAAACAATCCAGCTTGGAGCCCAGACCTCCTAGGCTGCCTGGGCCCCTGACACAAGTAACGGCCATACCCCCCCTGATGGCGGTCTTGGCCGGGGACTCGGATCGCGACCCCCTTGTTCACTTGCGGGACCCCATATGGGGTCGCGACCCACACTTTAAGAAGCACTGGTCTAGAGCAGCAATTTAATAATAGAAAAATAGCCCAAAATGGCCAGAGTTGAGGCCCCTAGAAATAAGAGGGTCAAGGGAGCCCTCCAACAGGACTGTAATACAGCGTGTCCCTTGTGCATAGGGGACGTATGAGAAGTCTTTAGCAGCATTTAGTCCCAGAGGCCTTTAGCACGGGATTTTGGGTGTGGACCTTCGGGGGAGGACAACGGACGTCATCCTGTCCCATGTTACTGAAGATACAAACGTTGTCTCCACTGAAGTACAAAACGCAATGATGACGAATGAAACAAGAAAACCCTTCGAGGAGCACTCGACCAGAACTGGATCAGTACCAGAACCGCTCCACAAAGAGAACCTGTCTGGGAGCATATCCATCATCAGTAATATGATTGTAACTGGTAACTTCAAACATAAACCTTTCCAGAGAAATGTGAAGATGGTAACGCGACCCAAAAATGATTCTCCGACAGTCCTGGATTTGCCCCATACTTTCCAGTCCTTAGATATGGTGGCTGCATACCTCCCCCCCCCATACCTTTGTAGCACCCCCCTGATCCCCCCAAAGTCCTATGGTGGACCCGCAAAGACAGGGAAGGCTGACATGTCAGTCTCAGGGGCGGATCCTTAGCCTGGTTGGGGGATGGGTACAGTAAATGGGGCGCCAGTCACTTGAAGGACTTTTAGATGCTTTATTGTAGAACAATCAGAACTGGCACAGAGGGTAGAGGGCTTCAGACATCCATAGTAAACATAGACTCCAGACCCACCGATCCCTTCCAGCTCCCACAGTGAGGGAACACCTTAGTAGAGCAGAAGATGACACTGCGCAGCACATCCACAGCTGCATGGAGGATAAGCATGAGATCTTCTTCCCTGGGAGAGACACCACACTTGTTCCTGAGGTCCATGCCATCCCGGCCTTCCTGGCACCTCCAGAAGTCATAGGGCTCCTCCTCTTCTCCCTCCCACATAGTTCCAGACCCCTCCTGGGTCCACATCTGGCCTCCTCCAGGCCTGAGGCCTAGTCAGCTTCTCCAACTGTGTACATTCTACCCCCCAGCCTAAGCCCGGGGTCGGACTGTCCTCAGAACATGGCAAATGGAGTATTTATGGACTTTCCCAGCATGCACTACTGGCCATGAAACTCCTAGTGATTGGCTGGTGAGGCATGGACATTCCAAATGTTCTCCTATTGGCTGCCCTACTCTATGGCAGAGTCACACCCCACTCAGATAGGTACAATCAATAGCAGAACACCTAGACTGACCAAATGATACCAGACTACGAATCAGCCGGACTGACTACAGTTCCAGCAACACTAGATTATAGTAGTCACTCCGCTGGAGGTGGTAGCTATACTTTCCAGTCCTCAGATGTGGTGGCTGTATTCGGTTTTTTTTTCATGTTTTTCCTTTATTTTTGCCCAGTGATCCTGCCAGTGACACACTTCCTGTCCTAGTGTGACAACGCTCACCCACGTACTGTACCTATGGAGAATCAGCATTGTCACCCTAGGACAGAACTGCAGAACACCAAAGAGGCCGTGTTCTGTAGTTCTAACGCACTTCCTGTCATCCAATGATCATAATGTCTTTCTTTGCTGTTTACCTTTTTTTTCCCCATAAAGTCTTCTCCTTGTTCGGCCCCTGAGGGCCCCGGGTATGTTCACTTTGTGACTTCAGGTCCTTCATGGGTTCCAGAGACCTCCAGGGCTATTAATGAGCATCAGAAATGATGTTTATCCAACTGGGACATCCTCTGCACAACTGTCTGAGCTCCCCCAGGATCCCAACACTCCCTATAAATGTTCCATCACTGAGGAGATCCCAGATCTGACAGAGAGACAGAGGCATGGATGAGAGGACATACCTGACACAGGTGAGAGGACATACCTGACACAGGTGAGAGGGGATACCTGACACAGGTGAGAGGGGATACCTGAAACAGGTGAGAGGGGATACCTGACACAAGGTGAGAGGAGATAACTGACACAAGGTGAGAGGAGATAACTGACACAAGGTGAGAGGACATACCTGACACAAGGGGAGAGGACATACCTGACACAAGGTGAGAGGAGATACCCGACACAGGTGAGATGAGATAACTGACACAGGTGAGAGGGGATACCTGACACAGGTGAGAGGGGATACCTGACACAGGTGAGAGGGGATACCTGACACAGGTGAGAGGGGATACCTGACACAGGTGAGAGGGGATACCTGACACAGGTGAGAGGGGATACCTGACACAGGTGAGAGGGGATACCTGACACAGGTGAGAGGGGATACCTGACACAGGTGAGAGGGGATACCTGACACAGGTGAGAGTAGATACCCGACACAGGTGAGATGAGATAACTGACACAGGTGAGATGAGATAACTGACACAGGTGAGATGAGATACCTGACACAGGTGAGAGGAGATACCTGACACAGGTGAGAGGAGATACCTGACACAGGTGAGAGGAGATACCTGACACAGGTGAGAGGAGATACCTGACACAGGTGAGAGGAGATACCTGACACAGGTGAGAGGAGATACCTGACACAGGTGAGAGGAGATACCTGACACAGGTGAGAGGAGATACCTGACACAGGTGAGAGGAGATACCTGACACAGGTGAGAGGAGATACCTGACACAGGTGAGAGGAGATACCTGACACAGGTGAGAGGAGATAACTGACACAAGGTGAGAGGAGATAACTGACACAGGTGAGAGGAGATAACTGACACAAGGTGAGAGGAGATAACTGACACAGGTGAGAGGAGATAACTGACACAAGGTGAGAGGAGAAGATACCTGACACAGGTGAAAGGAGATACCTGACACAGGTGAGAGGAGATACCTGACACAGGTGAGAGGAGATACCTGACACAGGTGAGAGGAGATACCCGACACAGGTGAGAGGAGATACCCGACACAGGTGAGAGGAGATACACGACACAGGTGAGAGGAGATAACTGACACAGGTGAGGGAAGGTTGCTGGAACAGCTGAGATATTACTGGTAGAGATGAGGAGATGTTCCTGGCTCAGGTGAGAGGGGATTAGTGATGTGACATAAATGAGAAGATTATAGAGAAGGGTGGATAGAACAGCTGACACAGGTGAGGATACCACTGACACTAATAAACATACTGACACGTGTGAAGAGAGACCGAAGACATGGCTGAGATATGATCACTGACCCGGGGAGGGGAGATCACCATCTTGTATCTTTTTGCTCACAGACAGTTGTGACTATAAGTGACTATATCATGCCAGGAATATAGAGGCCGCCATTGGTGGTCTTCTTTTGAACGCCCTGGTCACCTGGCTGTGGGTGACTTCTATACCTCTGAGTCACAAAGCTGGAACAAGCTCTCTGCAAGGAAGGGTCAGAATTCCTGATCTCCGTCATTGTTTGAGGGTGGACAATCAGAAAACATGGCCAGGGGACCAACATGGTCAGTGGTGGAGTCATCAGAAGCCGTGATCTTGGTGTAGCCACTTCACCACTAGGATGTACAGGTGAGTCTTATGGTGCGGAAGTGGTAGCAGTGTATCCAAAGCCAAAACTTTAAACTTACTTTTGGATAGAGTGGTGAAGTGTTTTTGTTATTGTCTGTGTCCTCCTCAGGCAGATTCACTCTCCCACTTTGTCCTGGTGACCGCTATAGTGAGGTAGAAAACAACATTTTGAGTTGCCACCAGATCAGGAATAGAGAGGGTCTTATAAAGCATTTCCCTCACTTTGAAGAGATTTTGTCTCACTTCCTGTTGTTTCTTCCCAATGGGGCCTCAGATGGAAAATAATTCCCGGAAGGTGTTTTCTCCATTCTCTTCTCCGTCCAATGGAAAGGTTTTGGCTTTAGTGAAGCTTTGGCCTTCTAAGAGAACGGTTCATACATTGGTAGTGATTTTATATAACATATGTAAGTTCATCTGTAAACACTTTAACTGGAATCCCAAGAAGTTCCCACCGTGTGCTAAGATTGAGGTCGTATCAATAGTTGGTTGTCCGTGTATGTTGGATCTTACAATGCGGACAATTCCTTGGCCAGAGACTTCTGTGTGAAGTTCAAGGCCAGCCCCGGAGGTCATATTCATGTCTACATAGGGAGGGATTGGTCTGAAAATCAGAAATGGTAAAGTGTGAATTTCTTGATTTTCCTCAATCTGCAAAAGACAATTCCCAGACCGCCATGACCCGGACTCCTGAATTCCCCATTCGTGCCTCCATGACTCATTCAGGCTCACACAAACACGAGCAGATTTTGCCTAATGGCCCTCAGCATTTACATCTATGGAAAACTGCCCACAATGGCTTATAACAGTTCTCAAACTAACCGATCCTTCCCTCCCCGAGCAGTCTGCCTGCTGTGCCCGTCCACACGTAACCAGAACTTTACCAGGCAGAGATCAGCCACACTGGCCAAATGTCTTCTCCTTCTATGGAAAGTTTTGTATATTTGTCTAGTTGGCTGAGTCTCAGCTGGCTGCTGTTGGCTCTCCTGACTGATAACTATTGTTCTGCGATGTTTATATTCCTTGCCGGCGACCATGAAGATGTAGAGACTTCCTCTTTCTCTGATTATTACTCTCTGTGGTTTTCAGAATCAGGAGAACATCCTGACGTCAGACAGTCCACATCTTCCCAGGAGCCTGGATCCGAGACCGTCCCCGTGTCTTCACAGCATTCTTCACTGTGCATAGGCCATGCCGGATGCTTACAATTGGCTAAGCGGACCCTGATCCATAAACCCTCTGACCTGGCTGTCCCCTGGAAGATGGGAGACCTTCTATACTGGACATAAGAGGGGAGAATTCTGCTGTGTTTAAAGGTATGGAGCGTGTG